GATCAAATAATGAACCAGCCAGTCCATTGACTAGTAATCGAGATGTATCAGCAAGAAAACCATCTGAACTGTCACATCATTCTCGACCAGTAGCAACATCGTTAACTGATACTCGCTCATCTGATTTATATAATCAACGTCCAAAATCATCTAGATTAAATAATGATCTAACTAGTCCGTTAACTAGTAATCGAGATGTACTATCAAGAAAGCCACCTGAATCACCATCTTCCAAAACATCAACTTCACGACGTAAGTTTACCGACATTCATAATTAACCTCTTTTCTTTTGTTTACCATTGTTTTTAGATCAAGTGTACAGCTCTGCTTATGGTACATTACCAACAGATGACTTTTAAGTGATACGCAAAATATTTTTTTCAGCTCCTACTGTAATACTTCCTATATCGAAATCTTTTGTTTTCCAATACTGAATAAATATAGTTGGGTGCTTCTTTTATTAAACAATAAATTTGATTTTAACTCATTTGATAATGATATTTTCACATAATGAAATGTAACATTTGTCATAGAAATAAAATATACACGACAACAATTCTTAGTAAAATTTCTTATGTCATCTTATGCAATTTTTTTCAATATGCTTAACCAACAAGTATGATTGAGAAGCTTCAATGAAGGATGTTAATCCAAATTTATTTTTTTTAATTTACTTATGCTTAAGTACGCATTGACAAAGTATGTTTTGCATGTCTTCATTTTTCAAATTAAAAAATTCTTGTCAAATATAATTAATCTTATTTTTAACTATTATGAAGATGAAGGTAGTTTATAGTGCGTATTTGACGGAACAAAAATATACCTTGATATCAATAATTTCATTTGAAATATTAACAAGAAAATCAGTTCGATAAATGCCTAACTAAAACATGGGTTTGCAAAGTAGAAAGATGAAATTTGATATGTTCAAGATCATTATCTCGTCAGACACGTCCTGATAACTAATGTGACTAGTATGCGATGCCTTTGTTGTAGTTTTATCAAATATGATAGACCGCGTAAAACCTACGAACGTACCACAATAATTTTAGATTAAGAACTGAATAAGAATTGTTCTTTTGACTGCCAATGATTGAATTTAGATACTAAGCAATACAAAATACGAATATCAGTTTCAAAGTTACAATTGTGTCTGAATATTATCTTACAATACTACAGCCTTTGATATGAGCACAATAGATGGCAAAAAACAAACTAATTGAATAAAATAAGTAATGAAACGTAAAAGATGAAAGTAATTATTTGATGTCGATCTTTATGAAGAAGAAAATACAAAACAATATTCTTTGAAAGAGCGAGTTTATATGATCTAACCGAAATAGATATCCGGAATGATCTCGATTACCTTTGAAATAGTTTTCAAAAGATAAAAATAAAGATTTGAACTTTGAAACCTCTCAAAGCGTTTCATATAATAATAAAATCGGAAATTCTTGAGGCGTTCTAAAAAAAAAGCGGCTCGTTTCCGTTTTTGTTATTATATGAAACGTTTTAAGGGTTTCCGAGTTTCGGAAACCTAATTTATATCTTTTAGAAAAATTTTCAAAGATGTTGTTTTTAGATACGTTCTTTTGAAGATCTCTATAGTTCAAATTTCCCATACTAATGATGTCCGATACGTCAAATCTAGAATGAAAGAAAAGTATATGAAATTGTTAAAATTCATCATTATTTCTTAAATTCAAGAGGAAAAAAAATGTTTTTTTTCTGATTTCCTTTCTAGAAGAATTAGAATGTGTCAGTCATGACATGTACTACACATCATAACTAAGATAATATTCTCAAATAAGATGTCATCATATACGATAGTTGAGTTCATCAATAATCATCTTTCTCATTTGCACTATTAAAGAAGAAAAAATAATTAAATATTGCACGCAAGACTTTAGGCATTATTATAATTTAAGATTACATTACAAGTTTTTTTTTAATGAATTTCTCATACCGCATAGAATATGAAACTTTTCGATTGATAGGTAATATGAACGTTATTACATTTTGTATAGAAATTTTTTGTACATATTCAATTTTCTCAAATCTATAAAAAATGGATTAACTGTTTTCAATAATAATCCATGTATTATCATTGAGAATAAGACTTATGATTTATTTATTACAATTAATTTTCAAAAAACAAATATTTGAGAAAATTTTAATATTAACAGTGATGTATGCAAAACTATGTTCAATTCTGCTTTATTACCGATGATTTCTTTCTTTTCTACGTCGTATTTTCTTTCTTTTTCTCTTACAGGAATATATTTCTACATCAAAAAGAAAAAGAAGAAGAAAAAAAAAATGTCGAGCTAGACAGAAACAACATACCATTGTCTTGTTCATATAAGCATTTTTTTATTTGTAAGTGATCTCAATGTGGTTCGTTAGTGCATGTCGAGTGTTACTATTCTATTAATTATTTTAATTAATAATATTTATCAAATAATTTCGATAAGTCAATGTGATTTATTAAATATTATTGATATACAATCAGCAGCCTATTGTCATTCATTAATATTACGTGTACAACCAATATATTTATCCGAAGAAATTTCTGAAAATATTGTTACAAGAAAAGTTCGCATACGTGAAGTTATTAAATTACCACGAAATAATAATCGTCAAATGAAAATGAATGATATAATTATGATTCGTATTGATAATGATCTTGATGAAATGCTTGATGATTCATGTTGGCATTTACTTCGAATAGATAAGGCTGATATTACTCTATTTCTTAATGAAACAAATACGAATGAATTTGATTTACGTTATCCACCTGTTGAAACAACATTACGTTTACGAGAAAATATTTATGCAGTTATGAATTATGGTAAAATAAATCTAATATATCACTTGAATAGATTGTTTTTTTTTTCTGTTCATACAAAATCAAATTGCTCTATTGTATAAAAAGAAAACGAGTGTTTAATGTTGATAGTCTTTCGTCTACGGAAATTCTTGATGAGATTGATCATTGACCTGTAAATAGGAGGCCATTGTCCTTACATTTCCGTTTCTTAAAAACGAATGTATATTTCTATTCATAATGCAATTACAGTTCATGTCGAAATAATCAATTATGTATTCAATCAGCCACAATTCAAGATTTATATATATATATATATATATTTTAGAGACTTATTCACCACAAGTTATTATAAAGACTCGAGTTGATAAACCATTCATATCAAATGATTATTCATTGCAATGCAATGCTCGTGGTAATCCAATTCCACGCTTATTATGGAGTAAGAACAATCAATCATATGGATATTATCCAACATCCAAACAATGTAAAACACCATGTCGTATTTACTCAATTCAAAATAAGTAAACCTAATGATTATGATATATTGCTTCTTCTTTTTTTTTAATATGCAGAATTATTTTCTTTTATTTAGATATCAATCGATTTTATATTTTCAATCATTAACAAATGCCGACAGCGGTGTTTACGTATGTCGTAAGTATGTTTTTATTATTTTAATATCCGTTGATAGTTTATTTATTAGACGCTGAAAATACAATAAATCATACAACGACTAGTATCTCGATAAATGTCGATGAGAGTCCAATAATAAATCGATTAAATATAAGTGTGACATGTGATAATTTAAAAATTTGTCATAATCAAGGTCAATGTATTATTATAAATCATCAGATGAAATGTTTGTATGTATGAAAAAAAAAGAAAAAATAGTTTAATCTTTAAATTTTTTGTTTTTGATTAAGATGCAACAATCAATATTTTGGTGAACAATGTGAAACGAATTATGATGATATTTTAAAAAAACAAAATAGTAAGATAAAATTTAAAAAAAAGGTAAAATTAAAATAATTGATTTTTTTTGTATTTTTAGATGCTTTTCATTTATTTAAATCACGTTTTTTAACTGGTTCTATTCTTATTCTTATTGCTTTTATTCTTTTATTAATTGCATTTCTTTCTTGTTTTCTTACAATTAATAATAGAACAAAAGAAAAAAAGAAATTAACATCAAAATTAATTATTAATCATAATAAAAAATCTAAATCTCAAATTATCGAGCAAATAAATAAACCACAAATACAAAAAACATTATCATCACCTATTATTCAAATAGTAAATAATCGTTCGGTATTAACAAATAAATCAACTACATCAAATAATAATTTAAATTTTAAGAATTTAAATGGTTATTATGTGCCAAGAAACACGAATGAAGAATGTTATTCGTTAAAAATTGATCAAATTGATGATATTAATTATGAAACAAAAACGAATCATTTAATTCTTTCCGAAGGTTACTTAGAATTTTATCAACCAGATGCTGAATCAGGTTTAATACGACCATTAACTATACCAAAAGATATACCAAAACGTTATACAAAATATGCACCATCACAACATCGATTTCTTTTACCTCGACCAATTAATCGACAATGATAAGAGAATATTATTAAACTTTCTTTGTATTTGTTCTTTCGTTGATGTATATAAAAATAACTGTATTAAATCGATAGACTAATATTACAAGGGAAATATATATATATGTTGTTAAATTTGACTATCACATTCTTTAGATCGGATAATATCCATAATTCATGAAGTGAATAGAACGATCTTGTTTAATAATAGATTATCTTTTCATGAAGACCTCGATTACGATGTATATTCTTTTCATCTGAACAAAAAACAAAATCTATAATAAATGCATAGTCATAAATCTTTTCTTCTGATAAATCGCCGCTTTACTATGCTTCGAAAAACAAGTATAGATTTTATCAAAGAGTCAAACATCTATTTTCACGAAAAAATCTACATAAGTTGCAGTTTCTTATAATGAACTAATAACATTGTAATTTAAGTGAAAGTAATCTATCGTAAAATTCTTCTTATGGTGAATATTATTTTGAATATCAGCATTTAGTTTCTATGTAATTCAACTGACTAGGAATAATTCATATTATTTCTATGAATTTTTCAATATTTCTGTTCGTTTTGTTGTTGTTCTATGTTAACAACTATTCATCGATTTCTATTCTATTCTAATCCAATGTTTAGTACATTTCATATATTCGTAATGAGATGTTAATTCCCGTCTTTTTATATTTTTATTTATTATTAATGACAATATATTTATAAGTCTATAAACGTTAAATTTCTCGTTAATACTGAATTAAAAAACTATAATAGCAATATATTGTATAGAGAAATTGTTGTTTATACATATCAAATACAAAAAGCTTGTTAGAAGGACTAATTTAAATTATTATTTAAGAAAAACATATTCTATAGTTTCCTCTTTTGATCGATGATTCTATTAAAGTTATTAGCATTCTCAAGATAATCAAGAATAGTTCGATAATGTTAATTTAATTTATTAGAAATAGATATTCTTCTTTTCTCATTATTTGGACTTTCATGATTATAAAATACGATCATTTACTTTTTATATTTTCTAATTATAAAAAAACAAAATATGTTCCGTCTTATTTTTCAATCAACAAAGAAAGAATGGATTCAAATGTGACTTTTTTTAAAATTTATTGATTGTCTATTATATATTCATATCTGTAGTCTTGTATTTTCATAAAATTCAATGATTGTTACGAATTCTATTCAATATGAAGCTGAACAGTCAAAATGATTAGGATTGAGAATTATGACACTATATTATTATGTTTGTTAAGTAATATTTCTAAAGGAAATTCTTCTTTTTCTTTTTTCTTTCTTTCTTTCTTTCTTTCTCCCTAAATGCGTGACAATCAGTCGAAGTAGCTGCCAATTGACGTTGTCATCAATGCTGAACAGGCGTTGGCGGTTTGATTATAGAAAAGTCGTTGTTGTTATTGTTATTGTTGCTGTCCTTGATCGAGATGTTGTGGTTTGTTCTTAAAGGGTAGTATTGTATGTTCTCTTGCTTGCTTGCTATTATGAACAGATTTCTATTAACGCTCGCGTTGTTCAATATGGTTTGCACGCCCGTCTTCAAACGCCCGTAAGATGTTCGGAAAAACAACAAACGAGAAAAATCGTTCATGTTCTGTTCTCTTTTTCTTTCTTATTATTCCGGACGTTGAAAAGAAAAAAAACTTGTTCACTCTATTGTCGACAGAAGAAGAAGAAGAAGAAGAAAATAATATATAAACGAACGTTTCTAATCTTTTATGAGATGTGACGTACGCTTGTCCTTGTTTTTCTCATTACCGTTTTTCTTTTCTCTTTATTTTTATCGTGTCGGTAAATGTTGAACCGATGGAGATGATACTAATGCTGCTTAGCCCATGTACATTTTCATTAAACTGACTTATGCTATATCATCATTACATCTCTTACTCGCCTTAATAAGTATTATTGTTGGCATTATTTCACAAAGTCGATCACCTGTCTGGATGGCACATAGTGTATCGCCAATATGGGCTGGTATTTTTGTAAGTTTTTT